GTTCATTTCTTGGCACGTATTTACATCATGCTCTTTAACAGTGAGCACCATGTGGTCAATCGTTTAGTATGCACTTTATGGGGTAATCCGTTACATATTTCAACAATTCTTCATCTGCGTGCCACAGATGTGTAGTTAGAAATCAGAGATCTACCACCCTGTCTTAGAAAGGCAGCCTCTTTGCTAGGCATAGATAAAATTAAGTGTACTCTGTAAGAAATTTAAGGATGCTAATTAAAGGTTATTGTATGAACATCGCCTCACTCGGATCTATAGATATTTTTCATTTAGGTTGTTTTAGAGTATTTTTCTAATATGACTAAAGCGTGTAGGCCTGATATTGGGGTTTTTTTATTATTCTCTATGTTTGAGTAGACAAATCTATTGCTCATAAAGCCTGACAAACTGGGATGGAAACTACTTACTCTCCCCTGAGCACCGTGAACATCGTCATAAATGGCACCATATTTTTTAATATATATATAACCTTTTCTGTATGCAGTACAACTTCTTCCACTTCAGGTAGTGCCACCACAGTTTTATTAAAACAGAACTCCTGGGGAATATTTGAGGAAGACAGAAGTTTCATTTCAGGCAGGCATGCGGGACTGCATCTTTACACAAAATGAAAGAGCTTGAAAGGAACTTTCCAAAACTGCAGGAATGAGAGCCCTGGGATCTCAGCTCTGCTTCCCGTGTTGGCTGAGTAAAAAGGGGTTGGTTTTGTTTGTTCTCCTGTTGACTCTGGGGATCTTTCATATTTCCCTGCACAGTCACCAGGCTTCAGGGGGAGAAATGAGGAACAGAAGGTGAGGGTTTGAACCCAGACAGGCTGAAGAAAGCCATTCCTGAGAGCACACTGTAGTCCCTTGTGTGCTAATACACAAACCTGGAGAATCATTTCTTCCTCCTGTTATGTTTTTGAAGAGAATGACGAGTGAATTCAGTGGCTTCTGAAAGTGCATGAGGTGTGTTTGTTGGATCATCTTTTTCAGAGCGGCAGTGCCTTTACGTGCCTGTCCCTGCGTCTCACAGCAAAGCTAAAGCAAGTCACACACTGCCGACGTCACAGTGACTGCTTGGGTTTAGACCTAACATAGGAGCATTCAGTGCAAAAGATAGATAGTAAGCAATTTTGGGACTACATCATGCTGGAAAACTGGTGTTCAAAATCACTCTAAGATCCAGCAGTGATTTATCTTGTGTGCAGCCTCCAACCACTCAACTAAAATCCATCTTAATTCAGTATTCCCAGGTTTTATACAGTATTTTTTCAGTCCTAAAACTTATTCAATAAACAGCCAGCCATAGCTTTACATGTACTTCTTTTCTTTCTGATTATTTTTTCTCCATTTTAAATAGATAACCTCATTTGCTTCTTAGAGACTGTGTAAGGGGATTTTTTTTTTGTTTAATTCTGGTCACAGTATTCAGAAGGGTTTGGCGTTCTTCAGTAGATAAACAAATGAGTTTATTACTGTTGACTTCCAGAACTGATTGAATATAAATTCCTTATCATTACCCTTCAAAATCTTGTTTATAGTACTCTTAGAATTTCCAGAAGGTAGTCCCATGTTTCCCTGTTTCCTGTGCTTTGCATTTTTCTGACCTGTACTTCTATTCAACAAAAATGAGATATGCTCTTAAAAGTGCAGAATCAAAGAGGCTGAATCCATAAAGGACACTTGTTGTTTTTTTTTTTAAAAAAAAAAAGAAGATAAATTACCTCTCTGCCATTCAGTTGTTTGGGGATAACTTTTCTTATACACCCACATACTCCCTTGAGCCCCTGCATAGGATTGTTTCAGTGTTTTCATTAGGAGATAAATAGAATTAGATTTTACCATTTATAGAAACCATTTAAGTGGCATCAAAGTGAAAAGGTGACTATAATAAAAAAAAATGTCATTCCTCTGGAATGGTATTATCATTTGGTTTCTCTCTACACATAACTTTAAATTGTGGGTATGGTAACTACAACATCCAGAAAGTTCCATGTCAGAATTTCCCACATTAGCTGCAATTTGAGGCAATACCTGGATGAGGAAAGCAATATGCCATCCCAGTTTCTGAGGTTCCAAAGCATCCCTGTGCTGCTTTCAGATAAGTACACCATTACCTGCCACCGTCAGTCCACAGTTCCCAGTGTATTAAGGCTGTCCTTAGTAGAGCTGATTCTGAAATTCTGAAATGTTTGATTGGTTTTTTTTGTCATTGAAATGCCTCCATGTACTTAGGCAGGTATTTTAAAGCTCACTGGCATGTTTGGCGAGTCAGTGATATATTTATCAATGATAAGCAGCAAGCCTTATCTTGTGAGTGAGTGCCTTCCTCAGTGTCATGGGTTTAAGATGTGCTCATAAGTGAAGAAATGCTACATTTCAGGTCTCATTAATTGCTAAAAATAGCCTTCCACCTACAAACGGGTGTAGTTCCACCTACGTTTATCCAGCTAGATAGTATTGAAATGTTTACCTCTGTTCATCCCAGTGGCTCTGTGAATCCTGCCAAATTCTCAGTATCCTTGCTTCAATACTTCAAAAGCAACTGAGGCAGGAGAACGTGTGGCAAATGTGTTTGTCCTCTCAGCTGACAGCAAAACAGCTACACGTTAATATACAGGCTCAAATCAATGGCCTTCTCTTAAGCAGGTTACAAGCTTAGACTGACCTGTCTATAAATAATTTAGAGGATATAATTTAATCTGTGCAATGGATTCAGTGTGCTTCCCCCGCATTCAGTGAGACCACATGTATCTTATTACTTTGTGTATTCAGATACCACTGAATAGTCCTCAAATTTTTCAGCACATGAACACAGGAAAACACCTTTGTTCACAAAAAGAGTTAAGCAAAAACTTTATTCCAACAACATACTGAGTAATAAGCATACAGTACTTAATTAAGCAGGTGCTAAAGTGTCAGAGTCATGGGACACCCAAAGTGTGCATGAGGTTAATCTATCTGGAGAATTAATGAGCACTGACCTACAAATCACAGGGTGCTCCTCCACACTTGCCCCTTCTGTGGACACTTTTGAGATGCAGGTTGTGTAGGGTAGTTCAACACTCCTGTGGATCTGTAACCTTCCTCATTCAAATAGCTTTCCTTCAAATTGTAATTTCCTTCAAATAGGAAATAGCTTTCCTTCAGAGACAAAAATAAAATTTTATTGCTGAATATTACTTTCTTGATCTTACAGAAGACTTCCTTCACTCCAAATGACGAGTGTGCTTGGACTCCTAATGAGGGGGAAAAAAATAGATCATATGACTGTGGTGTTTGGATCAGCTGAGCTGATTGTGCCAGAAACGTTTTACGTTCTCATAAAAGTCCTGGAAGTGAAGGGCTTAGACTGGAAAACAATACATGAAACCACAACTGTAGGGGGAAAAAAGGGAAGAATCTGCAAATACGTAGGCTATGAAGTGGCAACTGTTCAAATTATGCTATTAATTGGCAATACCCTTACACACACAGATGCGTTTTAAAACTGCTGAACTTGCTTTGTTGGGATTTTTGTTACAGAACTCACGACATGACAGTGGGCTCCAAAAGTGCTTTTCCAGATTTATGTGGAAAAGTACTTACAAGAAAAAGCATTTCTTGTTGAATGTAATGTTTTAATACCAGAAATCTACTACCTTTTTTTTTCACTATTTGTCCAAGCTACTTGATTTAATCCAAAGGGGCAGAATTTTTCAGTGTGTTAAAAAATTATATTTTTAAACAGGAGGAAACTTGGTACCACAGTATTTCACTGTATCTTCTCTTCTGATTACTGATAAGTGGCCTAATCTCAACCTCACTGAAATCACTGGGACTTCTGATAGTAAATAATATCTGAATGGGAGCATGCCTGTCATCAGTTTCCATTACTCTCCAGAAGCAGGTTTCTCAGCGTGGTAGAGCAAGGATAGGTGCATAAGAACCCAGTTATTAGCACTGTCCAACTCTAGCAAAGACCACAGCTTCCTAAACTAGGGTGTGCTTTGCCTGCTGTTGTCTCCTGCCTAATCAGACCCTCTGTTGGCAGTTATTGCTGGTGAGGTAGACCACTGAAATTGTACGTTTTAATTTTAGTTATTATGAACATATCATTAAAAACATCTGGCTTGACTCACTGTTTGGGTGAAACGGATGGAGAAATTAGTCCTTGATGACCCCAAGATGTTTTTTTTTTATCTTGTCCCTTCCTGTCCACTAGCCGTAGTACTCATTGAACTATGAAGTAGACTCTTGTAACTGAACTTCTTTTAAAATAAAAGGCCTATATCTTCAGCTTGAAGCAGAAGCACACCATTCTAGGCTAAAAGAAGTCATCTTATCCTTGGCTTGTTACATATAGGATCACCTGGGAGACGATAGAAAATGGATACAGAAATCCTCAAAATTAACTACAAATAAAATCCAGAAGGTGTCCGTAAGCCATTCTACTGATTCAACTGTAACTTAAAGTTTTGAAATAAAAGCATTTTATTTGAGCAGTATTTCTCAAAGATATTTTACTTTGCCTTTTCCAAGAGTCACCCATGTGAGGCCTCCACTATTTTTTCACAGCTTAATCTATTGGGTCAAACAATGAACAGATGAAAGCAGTGGAAGAATCTGTCTTTTTCTGCCTTCCTTCAAAACACGAAGTAGCTGAGGGCCTGAGTTGTGTATGTTGTGCAGATCAGGGTCTGCAATAGTTTTTTTTTTTTAACCCATACAAAAATAATGAGATTGATGAGATCAAGGCACAAGGAAGCTTTGGAAATATGTCCCATTCTCACCTTGCACAAACCAGTTCTGCTGCTGGCCACAGGTGGAAGACACAGACTTTGTTTTCCTTATTTTCGTATGAATATCCCTGTCTTGCCCAGTCTTTAACTGACAATAGCAGAGTACTGTCATTCCAGCCAGGAAAGCAGAATGTTAGTTCAAGTAATATTTTAATTGCTTAATAGTCGTGTCATTATTGGCTTGAACACCATTGTACTTAGACACACTCTTTTCTAGGTAACGTTTCGGACGAGAATCTACCACTGTAACATTAACAGCCAAGGCGTCATCTGCCTGGACATTTTGAAAGACAACTGGAGTCCAGCATTAACCATTTCTAAAGTTCTCCTCTCCATCTGCTCCCTCCTCACAGACTGCAACCCGGGTAAGATGAATTAACTTTCACATTCACATTCATTCACAGTTCATATTTGGTCAGCTACTAGAATGTGGTCAGTTCACTATTCTAATGCTACCTACTAAAAAAAACTATAAAAATGTAAATTTTGTAATGCCATTCATTTAAATTAAGACATGGTATAGAAAGGAAACAATTTCAGGAACTCAAGTGAATTTTTAATACTTAAGAATAAGAATCTTTTAATTCAAAAAGTTTAATCAGTAGAAAATACCTTGTAGTAGGCACTAATTTGGATATTACAACTAGGATATTAGTACCAAGAAATATTAATGAGTTAATAAATATTGAAAAGGCAAGCTTTCATTTAAATATGCTGATAATATGGTCTCTGAAAAGAATATTAATAGTAGTGACAATGATAGATGTCTAACACAGACTCTACAAATAATGAAAATTAATTTAAATGAGGTTTATTCAATATCCTGGACAGCCAGTGTGAGTACTCAAAGCAAGCTGTCATTCTTACTAACTAGCATAGCACTTAACCTCTTCCCTCAGCTCTTTTAGATTTGTTTTCTGCCATTGACCACTAGATCTGTAATTTCCCCTTTCTCTTACCCTATTTACCAATGAATGATTCTGACTGTAGCCTTGGAAAATTGTAGTTCATAGAAATTATTAAAGAATCATTGAAGAAAAATGAACCAATCTATTTACACATCTCGAGGGCTGTTGCTGGTTTCTTTTTTATTGCATGCTTCAGTAGTTCTTTCTAATTTGCCATCTAGTTTTTACAGCTTTAGGTTTCCTGGTCTTAAACTTTTATCCGCAACCAAAAGGCTAAAAATTGCTTTGCAAAGAGCAGAATGTGAGACTCTTGTGTAACCAGGGGCTGAGTCAAAAACTGTAACAGAAAACTGAATTATTTCAAAGCTCAAAATAAGATGAAAGTGGGCAAAAATGCAGTTGAATCTTTATGTTCTTGTGGGTTCATTACTGTATGTAGGGTTAAAACCCGTGGCATTCCTTCCACCTCAGAGCTGGAGCAGAAGAAGAGCCCTGTGTTACCATTTCAGGCACATTTATTTCAGGTGTGTTGGATGCACTCTGAAAGATTGTCTCTGAACGATCGAACTTCTTCTAGTGTCTACCCCAAAACAGGCAAAGGTCCCCATAAGAAGTCAGGCAGATTGATGAAAAAAGTATAAAGAAAAGCAAATTAATATTTGCTCATATGTCTTAGAGACCAGGTAAGGAGCTGGAGACACTTAAGAGCTGTGTTGGGATTGAGAAACTGGCACTATGTATGTGCTCATTTGTGGCCACTTCTCTTTGGAGGAATACAATCAGCTTGAGAGCTGGCCACCCGCCAGCAGTGATTTGAAATGTAAAATTTACCACCTCTGCCTGCTCAATCTTCCTCTTCCCCTTAGACTATTTTACAAATGCTGTCAAGCAGCAGTTTTAGCTGACCAAATGTGTAAGAGGAACACTGAAAACAGTTGCCTCTAATATATGATCATATGCAACAAGTTATGCTAAAAATAGGAGAGTTTTTTTCAGTTTCTTTCAGTTAGTAGCTGTAAATGTTGCCATGACTATAGGAAATACAACCATTTTATGATGTTTCATTTTCAATTGTTCTGATTACTTAGAAAGCAATTTTGGATCTTGTTATGGCTTCATGTTAAAATTTTCCTATGATTTTTTTGAGGAATGTGTGCTATTTTTTAAATTGTATTGTGAATTTTGCTCACCTGAGATGCTGATGGCAGGTAGCTGTGAACTGCTGAGCCATTTTCGCCTTCCTTTGAGATCACCTATTTTGTGTTAGATAGTAAAAAGTGAACTTTTAGTATTAGTGATGTACAACAGAGGGCTTGCAAAAACTTACAAGTTGTTACTTTTCAGCATATTGCTTAATATGCTACAGCTTGTTCTGGTTGTACTGCCCGTCCGTTTTCTTAAAAAATGAAATTTTTTCATTAACAAATGATTGGTTCCTTGCCATCCAGATTGAATAGGATGGATGGATGGATGGATGGATGGATAGATAGATAGATAGATAGATAGACAGACAGATAGATAGATAAGTAAATAGACTGATCACTGATAGATAGATCAGTGAGATACCTATCACTGAAATATATCATATATATAAGTACATATATAGATAGAGAAATGTGCATATATGTATTTTCTTCTCTACCAGGTGTATTTTCTGATCCCTTGATCCTCTTTTTATCTAACTGGTTTGGCACTTTCTAAAGTCAGAAGCCCAACAGGGAACTCGATTTTATAAGCAACTTTGAACTCTTTGTTCACCATTCATCAGCCAGAAGCAGATCAGGTCAAATGGAAAGGCAACAGTGAATCCCCCACAAACATAAACACTTGGGATGGGTGAGCTTTCCACCCCCAGCCTCTCTGAAGGGAAAAATCAAGTATCAGTTACCCCCTAGTCTTACATTTATGCAAATCTTCATTAGAACAACAAATAGCAGTAAGAATGGCAGCTAATTAACCCTCAGTCATATGCAATGATTAAATGGAGCTGAAGCACAGCTGCAGCTTCATTGGCAAGCACTGCTATTCTTCTCCAGCAGGCTAGGCAAATGAAAAGAGGTATTTGCTCCTGCCGCTCCTGTCATTCACACGGTAATCTCCAAAAGCCACGGAGAGAGTCTCTTTCCTCCCCGGTTATACATCACCACCCTTTGTTCCCTAGCACCCCAGGCAGGAGCAAGTTTGTCCTTTTTAAACAACTCATACAATCCTTTACTCATAGGCTGTCTCAGACCTTTCAGTCTTGATTATTATTAATTGTCTCTATTTTGCTTGGCAGTATCAGCCAGTAAACTGTGTTAATGAAATGTCTGAATTTTGTAACAGCTGGCTGAGTTTCTTCAGGGGGGAAGAGGTGCCGTAGGGTTTGTGTACGAGTGAACATGTGTGAACTATCTGGGAGTGCGAGAGCCAACTGGAATGGTATCAGAGAGATGGGAGAGATGATGGGATACATTAGCGTTCAGTCCAGGCATTCGTATTTAAGGTGGTACTCTGGAGCACAGGACACATCTCTTTCTACAAAGCAGGGCCCCAATCCCATAAATATTTTGGCATGTGCATGAGCAACCCTATGAAAGCTGATAGATAAATTCATCTGCGTGAAACCGAGTATGTAAGTTCTCGTAGGCTCTGCACCCGAGTGCTGAAGATATTTCCTTCCAGTGCTAGCTGTTAGGGCTTGGGGCTTGCCTACGTGGGTAGTTAGTTACTCCAGAGTAACTCCATGTCTGGACACTCCCCTCTTTGAAAATGTATGAAGGCAAGTCATGAAAAACTGTCTTACTTGGAGTAAAAGTCAACTGTACCTGAAGCATTAGAGCAGAGCCTGGGGAGTGTAAATTCCCAATTCCCACACTGCCTTAATCCAAAGGATGGCTCCTGAGGTTTTGTATTTTTACTGAGCTGCACGTATCAAAAGATTAATTATTCTTATATTTAGAGAGCTGATGATGCTGTTCTGGATTAAAATGCTTACTGTTCTTATTTAGTCATTGCCACTCCAGCCCTGCCAAAGGTTCTCAAGCCCCAGAAAAGTTTCATTTGCAAATGCTTCTGAGAAAATAAATGGAAAAACTGATCCTGTAGTGCAGTTTTTTTCTTTGCGTGGCCCCTTCTTCACAGGTTCTGAGCCCGGCCTTGGCTGGCCTGACTCTCCTTGTTGTCTGAACAGTCTGACATCCAGCCGTGTCTGCGCAATAACGTACAACTTAGCCTTGATTAGGACATCAGAACAAAGCCTGCTGCATCTCTCTCACACCAGCTTCTGCCCTTTTGGTGTCATCCTCCACTTCTAGCTCCTCACTGTTTTTCCCACATAGAACTTCCACAGTCAGTGGGCATTTTATCCCTCAGCTGACATTCCCACTTTGGCACTGTTCCTGATCCTCTTCCCCGTGTGGCAGTCTGTGCCAGCGGCGAGCTCTTGTGCAGGGAGTGTGCATGGTGGTGCAGACAGAGGGTAAGTGGGCAGGCTGAGATGGGCAGCAGCCCCAGCATTGCATGCTCACAAATGGGCCAGCTTAGGCTGAATACTTGGCTGGCAGCTGTAACCTAAGTAACTGCTGTGGGGCTCTACAGAGCCTCCCTTGCTCTGCTCTTTAGAAAACTGCCTTTAGAAACCTCTGCCTGGTTTCTAGACACACAGGAATTTTATACCCACTTGCTTTTAAGCAACTCTTATCTTACAGCTTAAGTGACCATTTTCTTGTTTTTCATTCCTGATATATTGGTGAAGAAATATCCTCTTTCCTCCTGATCTTTATTTGCTGCACACTAACTAGACCTGTGTCTGTTAGCCTGTTTCCATTCCCCTCCATGTCCTCGCAGCCCTCTCATGGCCCTGTATCATGCTGCACTCATCCTTCCTGAGCGTGCCTGACCCGTGTGGAGTTCATCAGGGCATGAGGCACAGGCAGAGTAACCTGCTCATCACCAGTGACATCCAGGTGGAAATATTTACTGCTCCCTGTTGGATGTCCCCATCTCACTGGCAGAGGTTATTTCTTTTTTAGTCCTGTTATTTTCACTGTTTGTCTACTTTCTAACCCAATTTAGTGAAATGACAGAGGATGGAAAGGGAAAAAGGAAGAGGAAAAGGGAAAAAAGGAAGGAAGAGAGAGCAAAGAAAGACAAAGCTTTTGCTAGAAAAGGGCATTAACCTCTGGTAAAGGAAATACACAAGCAACTGCCAGCAGTACTCCCTTCACCTGGGTCAGCATTAGCCAGCTTACTTGGTCTGACTCTGCTCTCAGGCTCTTCAGTGGCATACCACATTAGCAGTGTAAAGCTGTTTGTCTCTTATTATCCTTCAAACCTAATAGAGAGTGTGTGAGAGTTCGTTTAGTGTTACATATGAAATTTGCCATGAATGTAGTTTGAGATTGGAGCAGACATGTCCCCAGAGTGCTTGCAAGAATAAGTGAGTTGGACAGACAGTGCACCATTACTGTAATGTG